GGACATCCGCAAAAACTACTTCACAGTTAGGGCGGCTAGGAGCTGGAACCAACTTCCAAGGGAAGTGGTGCTGGCCTCTACCCTGGGGGTCTTTAAGAAGAGGCTGGATGCCTACCTGGCTGGACTCATTTGAGCCCCGTTTTTGTTTTGGGGTTTTGTTGTTCTCCCGCCCTGGCGGGGGCTCGGGCTAGAAGATCTACTAGGTCCCTTCCAACCCTAAATCTATGAATCTATGAATCTATGACCTCACAAGATCATCAGGTCCAGCCCCCTGCCCAAGGGGCAGGAAGTCAGCTGGGGTCAAATGATCCCAGCCAAATAGGCATCCAAGTGTTTTTTAAAAATGTTCGGAGTAGGTGCTTGCACCACCTCTGTGGGGGAGTCTATTCCAGGCTCTGGGGACTCAAATGGTAAAGAAATTTCTTCTTATATCCAGCCTAAAACAGTCTTCCCAGAATTTGTGTCCATTAGACCTTGTCTTCCCTTGGGGTGCCCTAATGAACAGATGTTCTCCCAGTTCCTGATGTACACTCCTTATATACTTATAGGCTGCCACCAAGTCCCCCCTGAGCCTTCACTTCTCCAGACTGAAAAGTTCCATGCCTCTTAGCTTCTCCTCATAAAGCCTGTTCTCCTGTCCTCTAATTATGCATGTGGCTCTCCTTTGGATTTTCTCAACCTTCCTTTCTAAGGTGTGGAGCCCAGAACTGGAGGCAGTACTCCAGCTGCAGCCTCACCAAGGCCGAGTAAAGTGGGAGGATGACTTCCTGGGTCTTGCTTGGGATGCATCAGTAGATGCAAGCCAGGGTTTTGTTTGCTTTGCTGGCTGTGGCATTGCATTGGTGGCTCATGTTAATCTTGTGGTCAATCATTACTCCCAGGTCTCTTTCAGTCATGGTGCTAGTGAGTATAGCACTTCTGAGCCTGTAAGTATGATGTATATTTTTTTTCCTGAGGTGGAGCACCTTGCATTTCTCCATGTTAAATACCATCTGGTTTTGATCTGCCCACCTTGTGAGTCTGTCCAGGTTGGCCTGAATCACCAGCCTATCTTCTTGTGTGACCACATGTCCCCATAATTTGGTGTCATCAGCAATTGAGCCAGTCCACTTCTGATACCTGAATCCAGATCGTTTATAAATATATTAAAGAGTACTGGTCCAAGTATGGAGCCCTGGGGGATGCTGCTGGTCACCATGCACCATGTGGATTCAGTTTCATCAACTATCACTCCCTGGGTCCAACCATGGAGCCAGTTTCCGAGCCCTTGAACTGTAAGGTTGTCAAGGCTGCAGTTCCCCAGTTTAACTATGAGGACTTCATAGGAGACCAAGTCAAAGGCTTTTTTGAAGTCCAAATAAATGATATCAACCACTTCTCCTTTGTTCAGGTCATGCGTCACCTGGTCATAGAAGGAAATGAGGGTCATCAGGCAAGACTTACCTGCAATGAAGACATGTTGGCTATCTTTCAGAATGTTGCATTCTGTTAGCCTGTTGTTAATGGTTTTGTTGGTGATTTTTTTCCAAAAACTTACAAAGGATTGAAATCAAACTGATTGGGCTGTAGTTCCCTGGATATTCCTTTCTCCCTTTAATGACTGTTTAAGTCCAGGATATAAGTGTAGGATGTATGTATATGCATGCACACATGCTAATACACACATGCATGTAATATATTCAATATTGTTCTCATTTGGAAATTGGTATCTTAGTTTGTATCACCTATAGTGTTAAAATAATGAGTTTCTTATATATAGCATCTTGAATAATGGACATACACCATCATTTCTTGGGGTTCTGTTTGTGCACTGTATTTTTATAGCCCTAAAACTCTGAAGTTAAGAGTTCTATTAATACTGTTCTATTCATACTGCTTTATTATTTTTAATGCATCTGTATTTTTTGTGAAAACCATCAAACTGTCTAAAACAAGAAAGCTGCAAGAGAATGACACTTTACTGGTTTTGAATGCCTATGGTATTATACAATTTAATAAACCTTTCAGATTCTGGGATCTTGTGATTAAATAAAAAGCTTAAAGGCTTGATCCACAAATGGACTTAGCCTTTGTGTTGCAGCACTTGATGTTTAGGTATCTAATTCTACTTTATGGAATTAACATCCAAGTTAGGTGCCTAAACCAGCTATTAGATGCACGGGGAGTGTTAACCACCTGAGAATGAAATATAGCAGTCACCAAGGTGAGTGAACAGCTGCCCAAGCTAGCAATAGGAAATACTGAAGACAAGGGGCTATTTTAAATGCCATTCTTCACCAGGATATATGTGCCTTATCCTAGTCTATTAGCTGGCACTTCCCTCTGTCTGAGGTTCGTACCCCAAACCCTTCTCTCGGAGTTTGGCATTTAGCCATTTGCAGATGTGAGCAGAGAAGGAGAGGGAATTATTTTAAATACTGATTTTGTGGCCTAGGGGTTATGACACTCACCTAGAGAAAAGAGGTTGCAGCTCTTGCTCCACTGAATACTTAGTGAAATCTATGGTAAAATAGGAATTGCAAACTAGGTTTCCCCTTTAGCAAACACTATTTCTACTAAGCCAGGCGTCAGCAACATTCTTCAGCAGGGGGTTGGAATGACCCAGTTTGGGTCTGAGAAGGGTTGGCACTAGCACCTGACTTTCTACCCTGCACCTGTGTGTGGTATGGTTTAAGGAGAGCCTCCCTCCACCAGAGCCTTCCTTCCACCAGAGTCTCATTTCCTTGCCACATAACTGTGGTGTGGTGGAGGAAGAACTCGTATTCTGCTGAAGCCCTGGACAAAAGCCATACAGTCAAAGCCATGGCTTCACGGGTCAGATCCAAAGTCTTCACAAGCTGCCAACCCCTGTAGTAAGCTATTACTGCTTGGTTTTTCTCTCCCTCTGGCCCAGTTATTCAGAATCAGTGGAATGAGGAGAAGCTTTAATGGAAGAGGAGGAGAGGTTTTTTGTCTGTCATTACCCTATAGCTTGGTATGTTAAGTTACTCCACTGAAAGAAATGCAGCCTCAAATCCTCACAGGTAGCAGAGGAAATTGAACTTGAGTATCCCTTGCCCTGGGTAAGTGCACTGACTACTGAGCTCTTGGGTTAAAGAGGCACTTCCTCCTCAGGCTATGTTCTGGATGGTCCATGATCTGAAAATATCTACCGGATCAAACTTTTTAGATGAGATGGATGGAGGAATATTAATTTGTAAAATTCAGTGAGCCTAAGCCACTCAGTGTGCCCAGAACTGGAACTTTATGTACCCACTGTTAGAAACTTTTGTATCTCCAGGATTAATACAGCTAAGGAGATGTTTTGAGAACTGCCATTTTGGACTCAGGCACCTATTTGGGACTCAGAAACCTAAATTGGGAGGTAGACACTAGTATAGTCCCACCCAAGTCACTTTGTTTTTACAAGTTAAAGGAAAGAAAGGTTAGAATTTCTTGGTCCATTCAGTCTAGGTGTAGGGTAGTACTAAGGTTAGCTGACTGCATGGTTGTCTTGTATTCCAGCTTGCTGTTATACCATTACATTTTATTTGTCACTGAATTATTTTCAATCCTAGTACCACTACACTTCTGAAACTGAAAGTGGACAAGCGTAGGTCAAGGGGAAGGAAAATTAAGGGTCATCTTAAGTTTATACAGTGGTGCCTTTTCATTTTCTATAAAGCTAACTACATTTAGGCTCCCTGTTGGGTAAGCTTTTTCCTGTCTATTATTTTCAAACAAGACAGTGCATATGACAGTCTGAGAATCACACCAGCCTGAACACAGATGGTAGGGATTACAGCACACTGAGCCTTGACCTTCAAGAGCCTGCCGTTTCTTTTCAAGGTTTCTCTTTGACAGCTAGACTGGCTTTTGTCAATTAATTTCATTACTGTATTCCCCCCCCCCGCCCTTATGATCAATTACCTGTGCTTTAGAACATGCCTCAAAATTATAGCAATATTCAAAGCTGGTTCCAAATTGAAAAAAATTAGAAAAGTCACAATGAAATACTGGAACATTTAACTAATCATGATGAAACACAGTCCAACTTCTTCTCAACTTTTTAACCAACTACCTGTACTGATAGACTTTGACCACAGTGCAAGAGGAGGAATGAACTCTATTATATGCATTCATGAATCTTCTAGTGAATTTAATTTAAATACAGATGAGAAAGATTTTTACGAGATGGCCACAAATTGTTATAGATGTCAGTACAGAACCTACATTTTGTTTTTATAGCAAGGAAGGTAAATGTCTGTGGGACCAGTTACAGAAGCTGCCATTTTTTCAGAAACCCCACTGAAATCAGAGAAGTTGGTGGAATAGTAAGGAGTTATTCAGTAGGGCTATGCAAAGCTTCAGTCCCTGATTCCATTCAGTGGAGATTTGGCCTGATTTGGTGGCCGAATCTCCGAATCTGAATCAAATCAGGAGAACCTTTAATCTTTCTGAATCAAATCGGAACCTTCCAAATCAATTTGGAGAGATTTGGTGATTCGGACACAGACACAGCTTTAAATGTTTTTTCTACATACCTCAAGGTACCAGGTGACTTGTGAATGTTGAGATGGTGGGGCAGATGGAGTGTCCCACAGGAGCACAGGGGTCCCCACAGCGCCCTCGGCAGCAGACCTGAAAGTGGACCAGAAGCACTTCTGGTCTGCTAGATAGCGTGCGGCCCCCCCCCCCCCATGGCCATCTGGCTTGGCAGCTGTGCCTCCTGGGTCTGGGGTGGGACCCGGTGTCCTCTCACAGCTGATCGCTGAGCCATGAGTATGTGTGTGGGGGGGAGGGGGTGCCCTGCGCACTTCCTGGCAGACCCAGAAGTGGACTGGAAGTGCTTCCAGTTCACTTCTCGGTTTGCTGCCGAGCACACCTCCCCCCCACCACCCCGCATCCCCATGCTCCTGTGGGATGCTCCATCCACCCCAGCATTGCAGCTTTCATGAGCCACACCTGATACCTCAAGGTATATACAAAAGACATTTAAAGCTGTATCTATGGCTGAATCAGCATAGAATTGTCGATTTGGATTCGGCTGAATTGAATTGGGGACAGTGATCTGAATCAATGAATTGAATCACTGTCCCTGATTTGGGCCAAATCCAAATCTGAATTGAATATGGCCCATTTTGCACACGCCTAGTATTCAGGCCAAACAAGGCTGGCAGAATTTGTCCAATAGAAATTAATGCTCCTGATTTTTGTTTTGGTTAAATGGTAAATCCAAACAGTCTCCTAATATCATATTAAGTGAAATGCAGTGCTTGCCCTGAAAAACACATGAGAAAGCCACATGAAGACAACTTCTTTCAGTGCCACCATTACATCAAGATAATGCAGATGCACTGGTAGAACTAGAAGCAGACCACGGTTTATTGTTTTTAACATAGACGCTGGGCAACTGAAAGTCTGAATACTTACATAAGACTTTAACAGATGACATGAGGGTAAAAACAGACACAGGATTTCTCCCAGAACAAAACTTTTTGATTTGGGACACTACCCATGTACAAGCCTATTGTCTGACTCTAAGTATCTGTTAAGTATCCAAGATAAATGCTTTTCCTAGGGACAATTATATCTAATTAGAGGTAATTGTCATTAATTCTGTGAACAAGCTACATGCATAAAAGAGATAAAAGAGATACAGCTTTTCTTTAGTCCCAGGTGTTGAGTTGGACCCACTTCAAATGTGACACTTGTTTTTAGCCTGACTTGAAAGCTAGACTGTAGGCATGTCTACATGAGGCATTTACTGAGAAGTTGACTAATTCCAGTAAGTAAACACCTCAGTATCTACATGTGCACCCTTATTAGGGTGCAGGAAACTAATAAACTCTGCGGTAGGCTAGTACTTGTATTTACTTGTATAGCATTTACAAGTACTACCCTGCTGAGTAGGTATTTTTTGTGTTCAGCAGTGCACATGTAGACACTGACCCGCTGGCTGGGGAAAAAGGGTGCTCACCTCAGGGGCCCCCTGCCAGCTGGGGCTACTCTGCCCCAGTTTAATGTGCTACAGTCTGGGTGCATATGGAAACGGCATGTCTGGGAGCTTTTCAGAGCAGTAAGTGCCAGAGTTTATTGCTGCACATTAATGGCATGTGTAGATGCACCCAGTGAGAAGTAAGTTATTTCTGTTTCTGGGATTAATTGGACACACAATAATTTTTTTCACAGTACTCCGGCACTTCTGTTAATTTTCACAGCATAGGGAATGCAGAATTATTTAATAAGGTACAGAAAGTTGGCCCAGCAGTCTAGAACCTCAGAAAAGGTCTGATATGAATTTGTTCCTAAAACTTATTGTTTGTGGCCTTTATTGTTTTATTTGAAACATTTTATCCACCCCTAACCACAGAACTATGAGGTGAAAACTCTTTATATAGGATAATTGCCATATCATCATATATATAACCCATACCTTTTCCTCAAAACCAGCTGAGGAAAATTGGAAATATAATGTGAGGAAATGACCTCTCCATTGGTCCAGAAATTTGGCAAGAGCAAAAGGGGAGGTGGAGCAGTGGCAACATTAGTTGCCATGGCTCTGGAAGCCATGGCAATTAACATTTCTCATTCCTTCCAACACCAAATTTCAGGACCCATGGGGAGGCTGCCTCCCCAACCACATGCTGGACTGGGTTGGTATGCAAGTTGACCTATGGCTAGACCTGGAAGCTAGGTCTGACCTGGCACATGGCCCCAGACCTAGTGCCCCAAGTCAGATCCTATGAACTGGCCCCAGAGCTACATGCTAGGTTGGATCCAGTGTGCTGAGTCTGGGACCACATGCAGGCTCCGGGGCTGTGTGCCAGGTCATGCCTGGTATGTGGTTCTGGAACCAGCACTGGTATGGCTAAGTCAGACATGGCCATGAGGCTGCAGGCTGTGTGCCTGCACAACAGCAGGGCCTGCACACAGCTCCCCAACCCCAGAGCATGGCCCCTAGCCTGCAGGCTCCTGTGCATGGTGGCCACTTAGTCCCAGTGATCCCAGACCTCAGATACTCTAAGGTAGGGTTACCATATTTTCAGTTTCAAAAAAGAGGACACCTGGCAGGGATGGGGAGGGTAATATGATTGTGGAGGGGGTGGGGGGGCAGTGATATGCCTGTGCCCTGCCCCTGCCCCTCATTCTCAAGCCAGAGCTCCCCCAGCCCTACTGCTGCCCCTAACTCCTGGCCCACAGTGCCTCATCCCCCCTTAGGCCATGCTGAGGCCCCTCACTCCTGACCTGCAGCCCCCCTGGGACTGTCTGTTCCCTGCGCTCCCAACTCACAGTTGCCTGCCATTCCTGGAGCCCCTAACTCCCAAACCACAGCCCCACCAGCCCTCCCAGTACTCTTCATTCCTGACGTGCAGCCCCTTATCCCCCCAGCCCTGCTGGTGCCCCTCACTTGTGACTCACAGTCCCTTGCCCCGCACCCAGCCCTGCCAGTGCTCTCACTCCCAACTCGTAGCCCCCTGCCCCCCGCCCAGTTGTGCAAACATCTCCTGGCTGCCCTGCCCCTGTGAGCACAGACACCGTTGTGGCCCAGCCATGCAGCTCCCTGCCATCCTTCCCCCATTCTGCTCCAGCCCAGTGCTGAGGAAAACTTCAATGATTAGCAGAGCAAAATCCTAAATCCTGGACATCTGTTGATAGTAAAAAAAACAACCCAGCTGTGTAGAGATGGGAGGACCACAAAAAAAGACATGTCTGGAAAACAACCCGGACATATGGTAAGTCTACTCTAAGGTAAGATCTTTTTTTCTTCTTGGGGCTGACTCAAAATGGGATGTGTATTGTATTTGGGGATGTGTTATATGGGATAAAATACAGTAGTAGTAATAACTTGATTACAGGCTAGACCACAGCCTGTACGTATTTGGCAGTACAGGGGAAATAAGGCCTCCTCAGGTAGAAGAACTGAGAACTCCTCTGTATGCAGAATACCAGCAGCTCTGGTACAGGCATAGATGGGAGTGGAAACATAATCTGTATATCCAGTATTTCCCTTCTCAATCGCACAGAAGGATAAGGAAGTTATCAGAGCATTTTTTTACCTAGCTCTATCCATCTGTCTGCCCCAGGGTAGTAATTTGCTCCTGGTACAGGCCAATCGCAGATTAGTTCCCAAACGTGATAGAGCAGAAAGGGAGCAATTATTAGTCACTGAAATGCCCTTCTGGGGCAATATAATTTTATACCTTCCCTTACAGTGAGCTGTATCTAAAGCCACAATCTGACCTTGAATAAAAACTGTAAGAGTGCTAACATAGAAGACAACTGTAGAGATAAAACTCATTGGTAATAAACAGGGCAGCTGCACATTAATTCTCATTAACATTAAATAGGAGTTACCAGTGTTAATCCTGTGTTTCCTGGACCAAACAGACCAAAGTTTAAAACTATATCTGTCTCAAATATAGTAATATTTAGTAATATAGTAATATCAAACTACAGCGAAATAACTATAACAACATGTGGGTGCTATAAAACATGTTGAAATGTAGTGTTATGTCACCATCTATATTGTTATTTCTTACTATAATTTATTGTAGCAAAATTATAGTTCAACCACTGGTTTAGGATAAAAATTACAGTTTTAATATGGCATTTTTTTAGTTTGCATAATTTTCAGAATCCAGTACAGTAAGGCTTTTGATCCAAAATGAACAGGTGCTAAAAATGCCATGCAAGATTTGCTTATATTTTAAAACTTCATTAAAAAGGGATTTATGATTAGTAAAAATATGAGGGGGGCAGGAAACTAATTAAAAACTGGAGCCCTTCATAAATTTAATTTGCTTTTGCCACTTTAGTTAAGTAATGTTTTGCAAAATTCAGAACAATTGGTCTGCAACTCAGCTCCCAGAGCAAAAACAAATGTTGCATATTTTCAAAAGAAATAGTTATAGATTGTGAAAAGCATGCTATTCACTCTGAAAGCTGACAAGCCACAAATATGACTACTTGTTTTCTCTCCAACCCCACTGACAACAATAACAAGCTTATTTTTAACCTAGATGCCTAGCATGGAAATGAATTTTACCTCCCTCATGGACTGATCATACCCTGATGAAATAAATAAGAGTTTGACTACAGATACTGATGGAAGTAAGGTATGCCTTTAATAGAGTCACTGAAGTTGAAGGCTTGCACTAGTTAAACAGAGCTTGTCCAAGAATATGAATTTATGACAATTTGGTGAAAAAGCAGGAGTATATTACAGGGTTTCAACATTTAGATTCTTGGGCAGGTTTTCTCTGGGGCAATCTTCCCTGAACTTAATTTATCTTTCTCCGTTAGTCCTTACTTCATAGGTGTAGCACCTGTTCAGTATTTTTTAGCATAAGGCACATGTTATAAAGCTACAGTTGCCATATCTTGTGGGACACTTGTATAGCCTCTTGCTGCTGATATCCTTTGCCAGCGTTTGTTTAAGATCTTTGTAGATTAAAATTAGTAGGGTTCTATCTTGTGCAAAGGTTAGTATCATGGCTTTGTCTCTTCCTCTTTAAAAATAACCACACAGGGACCACAATGGCACCATTGAGGCCAAATAACCACCGCTTGTCTCATTAGCTTAGGGGAAGTCCTAAGGCATGGAATACAGTGGGTATGCACATAACAATCCTAAAACTGCTATGCTCAATCCCAGTTCACACAAACAGAAAGCTGATAACATATGCCATCTGGGAGCACCTTGTGCTGTCCACAGGTATGTATCTAATTC